AGGGCCGGACCCGGGGACGGAGGGGCTGGGCCCAGGGACAGAGCCCACCAGGTTGTAGGCAGGCCCCAGGGGCGGGAATGCACGGTGCTCTCCAGTTTTTTCTGTGAAATGGACTTTCACGTAAAAGCTGCCATTTACTTACTTACTTATATGCCCACGCACTCTGCATGATTCATGCAGATCATTTAATCCACATTACAGCTGTACAAGTCGTTGCATTCATATATCCTCCAGAATGCAATCTTGTCGTATTTGTTACTATACAAAGTATCTTTTCTGACTACAGTGGAATGAAATTAGAAATCAGGAACAGAAGGAAAACTGGAAAATTCACAGATATGTGGAAATTAAACACCACCTCTTAAGCAACTGATGGGTCAAAGAAGAAATCAATCACAGGAAACGTTAAAAAATACCTTGAGACAAATGAAAAGAAAAATAGAATATACCAAAACTTAAGAGGATGCCGCTAAAGCAGTGCTCCAAGGGAAATTTGTAGCCGTAGTGCCTACGTTAAAAAAAGATCTCAAGTTCCCGCTCCTAGAATATTTGTTTGTTTAATGAACCTGGGAAGGTAAGAACTTGAACTAAATTGTAGAACTAGTGAGAGAAAGTACCTGCACCCTCCCCACTTACTGCCTCTAGACTTCTGAGCAACCGTCTGGTAATTTGAGTTCCCTTGTAGCTTTCCTATAGGGAGAGGTCAATAAAAATATTTAGCGTGTTGGAAAATTATAAATTAGCATTCTGATTTTATACTTTAAAAGAGAGAATAAGAAAGATTGCTGTTTGCATTTTGTTAATTTTACCCCTTATAATGAACTTGCACCTGTTTTTTGTTTTTGTTTTGGTTTTGGTTTTGGTTTTTTTGGCAGTCTTAAATCCCAATATTAAGTTAAAAAAAAATTTCTACAAGTTCAAAAGTATGTGTTATTAGAAACTTTTGAAAAATGCTCTAATTGTCTTCACTTGATAATGCTGTAAGCACTGATGAAGAGCAGAGGCCCTGGAGACAAATTGCCTGGATTCTCAACCTGTCACCAACACTTAACTTTGGGCTCACAACGTATCTTTCCATGCCTTTGTACTTTCTTCATGGCGTTGCTGTGAGGATTTAATAAGATCATACAAGAACTGCTTAGAAGGAGCCTGGCTTAGACTTAGCCCTTAATGTTAGCCGTTGAAGAACGAAGTCCTAATGTAAGATGTTTGTGCAAATGAGATTTTTAATAATCTAGTTTTATAGAGGTATAATTTACATATGGTAAATTATATAAATAACGTTATGCATGTTGTTACATGTTAAGGCATGTTACATGTTAAAGAGAAAAACATGTCACTGAGTTAATCTGCTTCTTAATAGAAATGCTTTCAGTAAATGTATTAATAATGTTGCTAGCAAAAATGTAGTTTGTTGCATTAGTCTGTTTGTACTGCCATAACAAAATACCACGTTCTGGGTGGTTTAAGCCTGTAGTGCAGGGCCCACCAGGAACTGGGCTGCACAACAGGGGCAAGCGGAGGGTGAGTGAGCGAGCGAAGCCCACCTGCACCCACAGCTGCTCCCCATTGCATGCACCATCCCCCAAGCCCCGCCCCTATCAGATCAGTAGCAGCATCAGACCCTCAGGAGCACAGACCTCAGTGCATACTGCACATGCAAGGTATCCGGTTTGCATGCTCCCCGTGAGAATCCGATGCCTGATGATCTGAGGTGGAGTAGAGGCAGAGACTCCCACCCCCACCCCCCTCACCCCCATCCTGTGGAAAAACTGTCTTCATGAAACCCGTCCCTGGTGTTAAAAAGGTTGGGGGCTGCTGGTCTAAGCAACAGAAATTTATTTCTCCTAGTCCTAGAGACCGGGAAGTCCAAGATCAAGATGCTGGCAGTTCCTGGTGGGGGCTCTCTTCCTGGCTTGCAGATGGTCACCTTCTCGTTGGGTTGGCACATGGGGGAGAGTGAGAACGCTGGTCTCTCTTCCCCTTTGTGAAAGGGCACCAGCCCCATGAGATCAGAGCCCACCCTGTGACCTCATTTAGTCTTTATCACCTCTTCACAGGCCCCGTCTCCAAATACAGTCACATCGGGGGTTAGGGCTTGAACATACATTCAGCCCATAACCAGTACAACTTGATTATGTTTCTTTTAAAACAATCGTGTGCCTGCCACATACAAGACATTATTTTGGGGAAAAGGGAGTGCAGAGCTGACATGTGTAGGAAGGGTTAGAAGAACTTCACCTTCCCAAAGAGCTTTTCATTCTCAGGGAGTGCCGGAAGCGTACAGCCACCATGTGAAAGATTTAACCCACCAAATGGTAAGCATGGCAGGTCGCCAAGAACAGAACCTTAGTGCAAAGCGTCTCCGTTCCAGATTACAATGCTGATGTTCTGGCATGGAGAAACCACTGATAAAAACCCACAGTGGTGACACAGTGACTAGTGCTGGGTTTGAGGCTGCAGGGAGACCATCCTGGTGCTTATTTTCAGTGGAATGGGAAGATCTTGACCACAGGTGAAGTTCACCTGGGATAAGTGTAACAGAGTACTTCCATAATATAGAACGTTTGTGCAGATAAGATTTTTAATGTTACGGTTTTATGGAGGTGTAATTTATGTACAGTAAAATTCACCTCTTTCAATGTTCAGTTCCATGAGTTTTAAAAAATGTAATGACTGCGACAGTCAAGATGTAGAACATTTCCATCACCCCAGAAACTCCCCTTTGGAGTTGGTCCCCAAGCTTAGCCCCAGCTCCTGGCAGCCACTGATCTGATTTCTGTGCCTGTACTTCTACCTTTTCCGGAATGCTGTCTGAGTGGAATCACGTAGCATTCCACTGCAGTCATCGCATTAGGTTTCTCTCCCTCGGCCTGTGGGCTTGAGAGTCACCCTTTGCTGTCGTGTGTGTCCATAGTTTGTTCCTTTTTGCTGCCAGGCAGTATTCCATTGTTAGGATGTTCCATTGTTAGGTGATGGACATTTGTGTCGGTTCCTGTTTTGGGTTATGAGAAATAAAGCTACTGTAACATTAGCGTATAGTCTTTCTGTGGACATATAATTTTATTTTTCTTAGCTAAATACCTAGTAGTGGAATTGCTGGGTCATGTGGTAGGTTTGTTTAACTTGATAAGACATCGCCAAGCTGTTTTCCAAAGTGATTGTGTCATTTCGCAATTCCACTGGCAATGTACGAGAGCTCTGGTTTTTCCACTTCCTCCTTGGCAAGACTCGGTGTGGTCAGTCTTTAATTTCAGCCAATTATCATTTGGTGATTAGTGGTGGTATTGCACGGTTTTAATTTGCACTTCTCTGATGGCTAATGACGTGGGGCATCTTTTCATGTGCTATTTGCCATGCATGTCTCTCCTTTGATAAAGTGCAGCCTTTAAATTGTACTTTGGTTTTCTTATTTATTGAGCTATCAGAGTTCTTTATAAATTCTGCATACAAGACCTTTATCAGAGAAGTGTTTTACAGATATCCCCACCTGTCTGTGGCTTGTCTTTTCGTCTTCTTAGACAGTGACTTCTGAAGAACAGATTTTTACTTTTGATGAACCTCAGTTTATCAATGTTTCTCTGTCTGGTTTGTGCTTTTGGGTCCAGTCCAAGAAATCCATGACAATGTCACTAAGTTTTCCTCTTGTGTTTTCCAGTGGAAGTTTCAGAATTTTAGGTTTTACGTTTGTCTCTGTCTGGCCATCTTTACACAGTGCAACATTGTATTGATTATTGTAGCTTGATGGTAAGTCAGCCAAGTAATGCGAATCTTCCAACTTCATTCTTTTTCAAAATTCCTTTGGTTATTGTAAAATTTTTTCTATGAACTTTAGAATCAGCCTTGGCTTTAGAATCTACGAGCCTTCCGGGATTTTGATTGGAATTGCATTGAATCTGTGAAACCGTCTGGAGGAGAACTGGCATGTTGACAATATTGAGTCTTCCATTCACAAACCCATAGGTCAATGATGGGATCGAAGCAGGGTCAGGTTGTCATTTCATGTGGAACCTTTTGGAGAAGTAAATTTGCGTGGTCACTGTCTCCTTGCCAAATCCTTCACTTTTTAATTGTCTTTAATGTCTTATAGTATATGTATCATCATAGACTATTATAAGCAATAGTGATTAATGATTAGATATTAAAAAGCTCCTAAAGCTTTTGTTCTTTTGATTTAAAGAGAGAGCAAATATTTGAGGATTTTCCCTCTTGCATTTAATGAAGATATAATGATTCTATTCAATTATAGATGCATTCCTCTACTGTTTTATATTTTCTTATACATGTACATGTGCCTATGATAATTGCTTCAACCACATTTCCTGTGACTGTTGGTCATTGCTTCAATTTTGTGATGATTTATGAAATATAAGATTACACAGAGAAGAAATTAAGGGCTAAGTTAAGGTACTGAAGGATTACTTAAGCCCCTTGTTTTTTTAAAGTTCTAATATTTGTCAGGCTAGCAGTACATGAGCGCATGTTGTAAAGTTGTCAGAAAGAGATAGTTTACATGTAGCTGGAGGTGTTAACGGGGCGCATTTGAGGTGATGGGCACTCACAAAGATTTGGGACACAGTCCTTGCCCCTTTACGATGGCTTAACACTTAGATACTTTTAAAATTCTTCACACCTTGCTTGATTAAATTTTTCCTTAAGTGTGTATGATGGGGGTCCTAATTTCGACTCGTACTTTTGTAAAGCAAAGGCCACTTGTGTCCACACCCCCGTGACCATATCTGGTGTCCTCTCACCCTCTCTGTTTCAGGTTGTGACCTTTCATTCCCCAGCAATAAACTGGTCTCTGGAGATCACTGTAAAATCGTAGTGGATGAAAAATCTGGTCAGGTGATGCTGGAAGACACCAGGTGAGCTCTTTCTGAACTTCTTTGTTTCCTCTTATAGCGTAAGAAGCCTGACTTAAAGCCAGTGAGTGTGCCGTGTGCCGTGGCTGAGGAGAAGGAAAAAGGCTGTGTCTGCAGTGAGATCACAGCAGCTGGTTTTCTGCAGCGTAGCGCAGTCATGCGTGTTAGTGATAGGGGTGAGTTCTGTGTGAACATCATAGGGTGCGTGCACAGACGCGGGTGGTAGAGCACCTGGGCTGTGTGGTAGAACCTGGTGTTCCCAGGCTACAAACCTGCACAGCATGTTACCGTACCGCATACTGTAGGCAGTTGCAGCACAGTGGTAAGTATTCGTGTAGCTAACCGTGTAAGAGGTACAGTAAAAATATGGTATTACAGTCTTATGGGCCCAGCATCACATGTGCAGTCATTGTTGACCAAAACGTTGTTATGCAGAACGTAACTGTAGTTAATTAGGTACTCAAGGTATTAGAAATTGTATTTTCTGGCTTCCAGGATGGGACACTCAGTGGTGCTTTGGTATCTGTGACCCTTCTTTGCATGTATTCAAATTAAAGCAGATATGTCTCAGAAATAAGAGTTTAAAAATATTGTCTCTACAAAAAATTTTTTAAAAATTAGCCAGGCACAGTGACACGTGCCTGTAGTCCCAGCTACTTGGGAGGCTGAGGCAGGAGGATCATTTGAGCCCAGGAGTTGGAGGCTACAGTGAGCTATGATCGCACTAGAGCACTCCAGCCTGACCGACAGAGCGGGACCCTGTCTCTAAAATGAATGAATGAACGACACTGGTAAATTTTTGGTTCTCGCAAACATTTTCAAGTTTGACTTCTTTCCCCCAAATCAAAAAATCTTTTTTATTAATTAATAAACTCTCATAAAACTTAACTACAAGTTGAGTATCCCTTATCTGAAATGCTTGGGACCAGAAGTGTTTCTGATTTTGTATTTTTTTAGATTTTGGAATATCTGCATCGTAATTACCAGTTGAGAATCCTAATTTGAAAAACCGAAATCTGAAAACCTCCAAGGAACATTTTTTTGAGTGTCATGTGGGTGCTCAAAAATTTCAGATTTTGGAGCATTTCAGATTTTGGATTAGGGATGCTCAACTTGTAGTATGTAGGAAGTGGAAAGCTCTTCAAAATCCCACGCACATATTAAAGTGCAACTATGTTTATTTTACGTAAATGAGATTATGCTACAAATACTGTTGTGGTATCTGCTTTTTCAGTTACAGTGTTTTGTGGGGTGCTTAACACGACATTGTGTCTAGACCCATCTCGTTTTTTTCATTATTTTATAATTTATTTGTCACTTCCCTAACTGGTGGACATTTATTATTTTGGCTTTTTCGTATTATAAATGACACTGCAGTGATTCTCTTCCAAACTCTGCCTTCATGTCTGATTATTTTCTTGGGGCGATTTCTCAGGAAGGGATGCTTTGTCAGAATGTGCCTGTTATAAATCCGGTACAAGTGGCAGGTGGCCTTTCAGCAGTGTGTTGAGAGCATTCCGTTTCCACTGGATTTTTTTATTTTTATTGTTGTAAAGATTAGGCTCTGTGAGATTCTCTGGTAACTAACAGTTTCAGGTATAGAAGACGAGGAAGACTAGGTTCTACTGGGAGGAAGTGAGGCTGCCTTTCCTGTTCTAATAGGTAGCAGATCAAGTACTTCATTTCTTAGTACAATGGAGAACAGAGTGCTGGTTCTAGAGCCGTCCTGCCTGCATCAGGACCTGGCTTTCCTGTACTGGCTATATCATGCTGTTAGTTTCCTGTGGCTGTTGTAATGGTTACCACAAAGTTTAGTGTCTTAAAATAACACAAATGTGTTATCTTGCAGTTATGGATGTCCAGAGTGCAACATGGGCCTCACAGGGCTAAAATTGAGGTCTGGGCAGGGCTAGTTCCTTCTGGAGGCTCCAGGGGAGAATTTGTTCTCTCCCTTTTCCAGCTTCCAGAGACCACCCACATTCCTTGGCAGAGGCAGGCTGGAGGGAAGAGGAGGCTCCAGGCGGAAGGAGCCATATGTGAGGAGGCCCAGAGGCACGAGGAGGTCTTGCGTGGTCAGAGCCAGTGGTTTGTGGCAAAGCCACACAAGGGAGTTTGGACTTCAGCTTGAGAGCAGTAAGAAGTCATGGAACGGGTTTAAGCAGGGAAGTGAAATAAAGAGTGTGAGAGTGGATTACGAGGAGAAGCCTGGCAGCAGAGGTCCTGACTGCAGTTGTCCCTCAGTGTGTGTGGGGATTGGCTCCAGGACCCCCAAACCCGCACACACTGAAGTCCCGCAGTGGGCCCTGCAGAACCCGCATAGACGAAAAGTCGGCCCTCCACGTAACTCAGGTCTCGCGTTCTGTAAATACTGTGTTTTCCACCCACGTTTGGTTCAAGCCTGTGTTGTTGGAGGGTCACCTGTGTATTGTGACAGTTGAAGTCACACCGTGGCTGCTGCCATGTGGTTCTGTACGTTTTGCTGGGATGCAGCCGCGGCCACCGGTTTACGTGCTATCTCTGGCTGCTTTCACGCCACAGTGGCAGAGCGGAGTGGTTACGGCAGAGACACGTGACTGCAAAACCTGAACTGTTTACTACCTGGCCCTTCACAGAGAACATTTGTGGCCCCTGACCCAGGGAGCTGTGATGGGTCAGCTCAGATGCCAAAGCTCTTCCCCACGGGGCCAGGAGTGGCGCTATAGAGCCGAGGCCTGCAGTGGTGAGATGATTGGAGTGAGGCTGGTCGCTCAGGTGCCGAGTTTTGTTTGTTGGGTGTGCTGTGCTCTTGGTCTGTCGTCACCCAGCCATCCCCAGTGTTCTCTCAGGTCTCCACTCAGAAGTCCCTCCCAGGGAAGCACTTCCTGTCCCCTCTTAGTCTCCTCCTGCCTGTCCCCACCACACCCTGGGCCTGGGCGTCTGCCTCGGCCTGGTCCCAGCAGCACTGTGGTCACTGCCAGTCACCCAGCAGAGTCACTCGGGTGACTTAGCAGCCAGATCACACGTTCTGAGCACAGGGCCACATCGTCTTCCACGTGATGGCCCAGCATTTACTTTGCTTCTGCCCTGAGCCCGTCTCTTAGGGGGGATCAGTACTCATTTGAGGAATGGTCTGGGTCATGCCTGCTGGAGGGAGTGGACCTGGTACAGCACTGAGCACGCTCAGGTGAGGCTGGAAATCAAAGCGCAGTGCTGCTGGCAAGGCCCGAGGACCCAGCAGGAGGCAAATGGAAGAGAACCCGGCATTGGACAGCAGTGTTGAAGCACTTGCCAGGCAGTTCGGTTGCTACTTAGGTTGTCAGAGGGAGGAACAGGCAGGTTTTTTCTCAGGACAATTGCAAGATGGTGCTTGCTTATGTGCATTGTTAAATATTTGCATTATTCCTGTCAAGTATCTTCAGAATGGTAATGTGAGCTGTTTCCCTAACGATGGTAGAAAAAATTTTAACTCAAGTTATTTTAAGTAGGATAAATAGCATTTTTTTTTTTTTTTTTACAGCACCAATGGAACAGTAATTAACAAGCTGAAAATTGTTAAGAAGCAGAGTTGCCCTTTACAGACGGGGGACATCATCTACTTGGTGTACAGAAAGAACGAGCCGGAACACAGTAAGAGCGAGGAAACTTACTAGGGTCAGACATGCAGGGGTGTGCCATCTCGAGAAGCCCAGCTGAGGCCAGAAGCACCTCCAGAGGGAGTCTGGTGACACAGATGTTTCCTGCAGGAATGTCACTGCTGGCTGCACTCCCTTTGCTGTCTGCATGGGTTGTTGGCAGCCATAGTATCTATTGGAGAATGGGAATGTGGTCCGAGCCCCACCGCTTTTCAAGAACACCACTGTGGTCATAAGTGTGAATCTCAAAGGGCAGCCAAAGAGAAGGAATGGTGGCGGGTTAGGTCACATCATAATGGAATCTTAGTTCTTAGGGAATAAAACCCAGGACCAGAGGCCTGGAGGCCATGGATGGGTCTGCTTTTGGAGACTTTACAAGAGACAGCAAAAGTTAGACTGGATTCCAGTGGGACTTTTTCAGCTCTAGGAGTCTATGTTTTTGTTTGTGGAAGAATGTTACAAGAGAAGGAGGATTATGGGAGTCTTTCGAAGGTTACCCTGAAATATTTAAAGACCACAGTGGTAAGGAAGAGGAAGAAGGGGGCAGATATTTCTTTGGTCATCCTCAGCATAGTCAAAGTCAGCCCCCTGCCACAAGGACAAGTCTTATATCTCTTCCTTTTGGTAGTTTGAAATTATAAGCAAGGCGTGGTTTCTCATCTCAACATACCATGCCGTTTTTTCCTGGGGCTCATTTATTTGAAGTGGTAAAGATGTTTTGGATCACTTGTTTTGAAACCTCTTAAGCTAGTGAATGTTGTTACTAGCCAGTGAGTCAAAATAATCAAAGACAAATGGGCTGGAGGGAACAGGAGGAAAACGAGCTCTCACTGCATGTGGCTACCACTTCTCTGAATTGATTCATGTCCTTTCAGATGTGGCGTACCTCTATGAATCTTTACATGAGAAGCAAAGCATGACACAAGAATCCCTTGGTAAGTAAGGTAACCACAAAGAAGTGGATGCGTATTAAGGGCTGTTGAATTCTTAAGAGAAACGCCCTTCGATGCTCTGCAGTGTCTCAGCTGAAGTAGTGGTGTCCACCTGAGCCCTCCGTGTTGCTTCTTCTCTTTTGGTGGTTACAGAAGCTAATAAAGAGAACGTGTTCCACATGACCAAAGATACCTCAGGTGCAGGGCATGGTGACGATCCCCAGGTCCCACCGTCGTCGCCCGTCACTCAGGTGTGCTTTGAGGAGCCACAGCCATCGACATCGACATCAGACCTCCTCCCCACGGCCTCTACCTCTGCCACGGAGCCTCCTGCAGGACAAGAGCGTTGCTCCAGCTCCGGTGAGACGGGGATTTCCTGTTCATGTCTCATGGGGTCACGGTGGTGGGAGCATAGCTTTTTGTTCACTAATCCTTACCTGTGTTGTCACAGACACAGATAAGCCCGTGGAGAATGGCATAAGGTTCTCAGTACTGTGGTTTCTGTAGTAGTAAGTATTGACTTGTTCTATCCCTGAGAGGAATGCCGAAGGTCAGGGACTGTAGTACCATGGTATATTTTACATTTTAATTGGGATGTAATTCATATAACATACAAATCACCCAGTTAAAGTGTATGTTTCAGTGGTTTTTATAACATTCCTAAGGTTTTACAACCGTCATCACTAACTCCAGAACGTTTTCATCACCCCGGAAGGAAACCCATCCCCATGAGCAAACACTCCCCTCCCCCTTCCCTACCCCTCGGCAGCCATGACTCTGCCTTCTGTCTCTACAGACGTGACTGTTCTGGATGTTTCATATACGTGGAATCCTACAGTAGCATGTGGTCTTTTTTGACTGGCTTCTTTCCCTTAGCATAATGTTTTCCAAGTTCGTGCAGAAGGGCATATTATTTAAAACCAGCTTTACATGCGCTGTTCCTTAATAGCATGATTGCCTTCCTCTGTGGTCATTGGGAAAAATTCAGACCATCTTGGTGCAGTGTAGCGTGTTCATTTCCTTGTGCAGGTGTTGTTACATAGAATATGCATACATGCATATTCCCCGAATTGGATCACGCTGTGACTATGTATGTTTATTTTTCTAGTTTACTTTCTTAGCTGTTCTCCTGTATTTTTCTTCTAAATTATCCTCAGAATTGGCTTTTCAAGTTTTAAAAAAAAGTCTTTTTGAGATTTTGATTTGGGGAGAATTAAAGTTTTATAATACCTGGGAAAATGGTATTTCTCCCTGTTTATTATTAAGCTCTTTGATGGTCTTCAGTGAGTTTTATAGCTTTCTTCACCTAGTTTTGGGATAATTCTTATTTTTTCCTAGGATGTTGGGCTCTCTTGTTGTCATGTCGTATAGCTGTCTGCCAGTTTGTTTTGGACAGAGATCCTCTAAATTGCAGTGAGGATGTGTTTGGATGTGACAGAAAAGCTGGTTCCCATAACAAAGTCTGAGAGCACCCTGCCCAGGGCGGGCACCAGGAGCCTGTAGGAGAAGGACCTTTGTTTCGAACAGGTCTGTCGCTGGTCAGCAGAGCAAGAAATCTGCCCCGGGGGCTGCCCCGTCCATCTCGCCAGTCTGGCTGCTCTGCAGCAAGATGTCCCTTCTTTTTACATTTCTTCAAGCACCTAGCGGGATTTGGGGACAGGGACTCAGTCTGCCTCTTGGAACTGGAAGCCTTCTCCCACACCCTGGACCTGTTCCTGTTTTTGTTAATTTGGTTTTCCTCCCTCACACAGTGGGTCTTTCTTCACTGTCAGCCCTGCGCATCCTGTGTGGCATCCTCCTTAGGGCCTCGTGGGATCTGCCCCCTTCCTTCTCCAGGGCCCCTTGGATGAGCCTAACTCCTCAGCAGCAAGACATGGTGGGCAGCGTATTTCACTCTTTTCTCAGGTCAATGATGTCCCAGCCGTCGGGAGGGCAATGTTGTGGCTTCTCAGGGCACACCTGGGAGGGCTGCTCAGACGCTCAGTTGCAGCGAGACTGTGTTCAGTGAGTGCCGTGCGGTCTTGCCTGTTGCTTCTGGAGACAGGACAAGCCGCTCACGCCAAACCAGTGACAAAAGGAATTCCTACCAGCCTGTCTCCTATAGACGTCTAAACCATAGCTCCAGCTTCTCAAAGACCCTTTGATCTGCCTTGTTAAACATCATTACCTCAGATTCACAAGTGAAAGAAAATGCAGTAACACTTCAAGGTGAAAACATGCCAGATCTGCATAGCAGGATGGCTGAGGTTCTACACACTCTCTAGGCCCACGTACCTGTCACGGTATTGTCCGGGTCCCTTAAAGCTCAGATGCCGACACACCTGGGGTCACGCTGGCTCTCCATAGCCGGCTCCAGCAGCTGGTTACTCACCCCATGATCTTAGCCCCAGAGAAGGAGAAGTAGTATTCACTCTGCTTCGGTGGGGCCCCACAGCCTTTCATGTACAACGAACACAGACCACCAGCTATATAGACAAGCAACACCATGTCTGGAGTCCCAAGCGGTCATTTTGTGGCTATTATGAGACCCTTTTCAAAAATGTAGCACCAGACGGCTCTGGCCTATAAAGAAAACCTACTTAACCAGTAAAATTGTTTTCCATTCCATTCCATCCCATCCATATGCATAGCGCAGTGTGTAGACTGAGCGATAGGTTTTATTAATTTTTTTATTATGTTCTACTTCTTTTTTTTCTTTTTTTTTTTTGAGACAGAGTCTCATTCTGTTGCGTGGGCTAGAGTGCTGTGGCGTCAGCCTAGCTCATAGCAACCTCAAACTCCTGGGCTCAAGCAATCCTTCTGCCTCAGCCTCCCGAATAGCTGGGACTACAGACATGCGCCACCATGCCCGGCTGATTTTTTCTATATATTTTTAGCTCTCCAATTAATTGCTTTCTATTTTTAGTAGAGACAGGGTCTCGCTCTTGCTCAGGCTGGTCTCGAACTCCTGAGCGCAAAACGATCCACCCGCCTCAGCCTCCCAGAGTGCTAGGATTACAGGTGTGAGCCGCCGCGCCCAGCCTATTATATTCTACTTCTAAAGGGCAATGCGTTTATATATTACTTAAGTAATTTTCAAAAATAAAATTTTTCTATCTGTATGCCTAAGTATATACATACTAACAAAATAATTATAGTTAATACTTACCGAGCACCTACTAAATGTGAGGGAGTGTGCCAAGTGCTTTTTTTTTTTTTTTTTTTTGAGACAGAGTCTCACTTTGTTGCCCTGGCTAGAGTGAGTGCTGTGGCATCAGCCTAGCTCACAGCAACCTCAGACTCCTGGGCTCAAGCAATCCTACTGCCTCAGCCTCCCAAGTAGGTGGGACTACAGGCATGCACCACCATGCCCAGCTAATTTTTTCTATATATTTTTAGCTCTCCAATTAATTTCTTTCTATTTTTAGTAGAGACGGGGTCTCGCTCTTGCCCAGGCTAGTCTCGAACTCCTGAGCTCAAACAATCCGCCCGCCTCGGCCTCCCAGAGAGCTAGGATTACAGACATGAGCCACCGCGCCCGGCCCCGAGTGCTTTTGATAAGTTATAAGTCACTTCTGGGCCTGTCAGAGAGGTGCCATTAATATAATCTTTATTCTGGAGTTGAGAAGTCGGGGTGAGCACAGAGGGCTCTCGAGACCCTGGCCTGAGTGAGTGCTGGGCTAGAGGCCGGCGGCCAGCCCGGGAAGCTGTCTCTCTTCTGTTAGTACATGAGTTAATTTATTCCCCAAACTATTTTGTTTTCTTTCAGCTGCTGTTGGCCAGTTTTTTCTTTTCTCAAATACTAATACTTACCATTTGAATATTATAAACTAGATACATATTATGCTATAATTTCATAAACGAGATCTTTTTGTTTGTTTGTTTGTTTGAGACAGTCTCGCTGTGTTGCCCAGTGGTGTCATCACAGCTCAGTGCAGCCTCATGCTCCTGGGTTCCTGAGCTTAAGATCTTTCTTAAGACAGAGGTTATTGGCCAAGTGTGGTGGCTCATGCCTGTAATCTTAGCACTTTGGGAGGCTAAGGCGGGAGGATTGCTTGAGCCCAGGAGTTGGAGGTTGCAGTGAGCTATGATCATGCCACTACCCTCATGTCGGGGCAACAAAGCATGATCCTGTCTCAAAAAAACAAAAAGATGGGAAAGTTTGCCTGTCTTTCTGCCACGGTCATTCCAGTTATTTATGACTCGAGCTTCTTGCTCGTGGAGACCAGAGCTCTCCCTACAAGTTACTGTTCTCCTTCCCTTTATCACACTTCTTGGGAAAATAGTTAACACTCCCCCACCATCCCCACTCCTGTCTAAAGCTACTGCCTCCCTCTGTTGAAATGTCTCTACACGAACCTCTGTCTTAAGAGTTGACAACATAACGTGCATGATGTACTGGCATGTGGCTTTGCCCCATGGTAGATTTGGTATTCAAGGGTTGATCCCAGTCACAAACATCTCTGCATTTCTTTCCCACCTAGCACGGTGATGGGCACAGATACATTTAAGATTGTGAGCAGACTGGATAAGTATTTCTCGTAAGCCATGCATCATTCTTAAACTATGACATCTCGGCTTGCAAACTCTACTCGGTTTAAATCATTGACACTTTACCCAGCATGTTCTCTCCTGAGGTGGATAAATCAGAGCCTGTCTTGTTTGTTCCCACTCACAGGGTCCGGGGGTGCAGCCATCTCCCCAAAAGCATTCGTGGCCAGTGATGAAATCGCTGGCTTTGCATCGGCTCCCCCAGACATAGGAGCACCCTCCTCTTCTCTGGAACCCCAGGATCAGGAGGATTCGGAGCCCACTAAAAAGAAAATGAAAGGAGGTCAGAGTCTGTGGTTCTCTGCGTCCTGCGCCCTCTCGTGAGCTCCCTGGGCTGGTGCTCTGCGCTGTGGGGGCCTCATTTCCTGCAGAAGCTCGAGGACCCTGCCTCAGCTCGGTACCTGTAACCCCTCAGCGTTTTCTGAGTGAAATTCCAGGCTTTTTCTTTATTTGCATAATCCTGTAGAACCGTGTTTACTGCCAGGCTATGCTCTTGGTCTGGAAATGGTGTGTTCTGAATTTCAGAATTGATCTAGAAGTCCTCTGTCCTGATATGACAATAATTTCTAAAAATGTAGTTTGAATGTTCACATTGAAGATGATTTAGATTCTGTACTGTTCTGCGGGGCAAAATAAATAAGTAAAAGTTTTAAAAATGGAGATTATTTAGAGAAAAGTCTACATTTTAGAAGCCAAAGTTGAAAGTATTATTAGTATCACCTAGCAAGCTGGTGACAGCTTGTAATCCGTGCTTTTTATCACTCTCCAGGGTGTACACGAGTCACAGTTTTTTTGTTTAAACGAAAGTGAACATTACACACAAATACAGTTTGACAGCTGAGCTTTATCTCTGAACCATACATCCTGAATGTCTTTTTTTATGTATTAACTGTGCCTTTAAAACAAAACTTAGACATACTGGAATATGAGACTTATGTGAGCCCTTCTTAAAAATACCCTTTATAAATACAAACATATGGCAAGGATTGTGTATCTCCTGCTTCTGTGGACGGTAGAGGCCCGAAGCTTTTCCGTGTCTACAGATTAAGACGTTTGTAAACCAAAAAGCTGATGCATTTCTTTCTTTCTTGGATTTGACAGTGAGACATGTCCCTTTTTCTCTCACAGATGGTGAGCTTGACCTGAACCTGCAGCTGTTGGCCACAGACCAGGGTAGAAAGGCCCGGACTGTTCATGAGGATGCCAGGGCTGCAGCCGTGAAGCCAGACAAGATGGAGGAGACACTCACGTGCATCATCTGCCAGGACCTGCTGCATGACTGCGTGAGGTACGCACCACGTGCCCTAGTTTCCGCCAGGGCTAACTGGGCACGCAGGTTTCTCGTCCAGTGGCAGGGAGGAGGCCACAGATGCAACGAACCTTGAGTCCTGTTTGGCATGGAATTTGCTGAGGTTGCCATTTTCATTTCACTTTTGTGGCCAAGAAGGAGAAAACCTGGCCCAGAGACCCACCCAGGCTGTGGAACCCACAAGGTTTCGGCAGTGCTGGTTTTGACTGGCGTGGGTCACATGTGACCTAGTGAACCAGTCTCTACCTCGCAGACAGATCAAATGGACTATACTGAGTTTTAAAAATTTCCTAGCTAAATAAAGGCAACATTTAGCGCAGAATGAATGTATAGGAGCAGCTGGGGAAGAGCCTGCTTGCTTACTTTGGGAACTTAAGAGTTAGAGCCTGTCGGACTTTCAGTCTAAAAACACTCTGTGTTCTTGTTGCTTGTCTTGTCACAATCTGCTCTCCCCTGTCCCTCCTGAAAACTCAGAGTCCACGTGGCTTCTGATTTGTTTTCGTCGACCAAGACTGAGTGAAAATATTTTTAGGTCGAATGATGGTTTGGGTCCCCCCAGTTGGCCGGTGGCTCAGATTGGCATGTCCTTTCCTTGGGTGGTCCTGCTGGGGACTTCGGCCCGAGGGCCACGGTCCCATCTGCAGACATGCCCCTCTGTGCCACAGCCTGCAGCCCTGCATGCACACATTCTGCGCGGCTTGCTACTCTGGCTGGATGGAGCGCTCCTCCCTCTGCCCCACCTGCCGCTGTCCGGTGGAGCGCATCTGTAAAAACCACATCCTCAACAACCTCGTGGAAGCGTACCTCATCCAGCACCCAGGCAAGTGGGGCAGCCTGCCCAGGCCTCCCTTCTTCAGGCGCTGGGGATGTGAGCTCCGAGCGGTCTAGGCTGTGCTGCTGGTGAGTGGTGCTGTGCCCTTCGAATTCTAGACAAGAGTCGCAGTGAAGAAGATGTGCAGAGCATGGACGCCAGGAATAAGATCACTCAAGACATGCTGCAGCCCAAAGTCAGGAGGTCTTTCTCTGACGAAGAGGGGAGTTCAGAGGACCTGTTGGAGCTGTCCGATGTTGACAGTGAGTCCTCGGACATTAGGTAAGTCCTGGCCTGGCGCAGAGCAGAGCGTGGGAGCTGGAGCTGCAGTGAGCACCGTGATTGAGAGCTTGCTCCTGGGGTGGACAGGGCAGCATGGCTGGTTCTGCCCCTAGCAGCCCCGTTCCTCAGTGCCGTGGGCTTGTTTTCTGGTGCTGGGGAGAACCAGCATCTCCGTCGAGAGGCGTGATCAGGATGGGATGAACACTCAGGGTGGCAGCTGGCAGTGTCAGCCTTGGTACCTGACAGGGCCCTCCCTGTGCCGACATCCTTTTGTTTCCGGAGTCTCTGCATCGAGGGTCTGCCTGTGACACGGGGTCATCGTTGGCTGTGTTATTTTCTTCCCACATGAGCACACGTACTATTCGTACCTTGTCTAGTGACCATAAAGTCCTGTATCGTAAATTGCAATACGTGTCATTAGTCAGGAAATGGCACAGCCGTCCGGCTGAGAGGATGCTGTCCTAGAAGCCCTCGTTGTATCTGCTGACGTGTTGATATTTCCTAGTCCAGGATCTGAATTTTGGATCGAGGCCGTGATATTTAAAAACACAATAAACAAAAGACCCCAAAACTTTTATTATTGTTTCCTTTCTGTAAATTTAGCAAGTGATGACAGTTAAGAAAAAAAAGAAAATGAAAAGTCAGTTTGGTGTTAACGTTTTATTGTACCCATCTGGTCATTCAGATGTGTATCCATACATATATTTTTTAACAAAATAGATGTAATATACCAATGAATATTCTGTGAGGATGGGATTGTACTGCACGCATGCACCTGGGACGCCCGGCACCGTGAACCGGCACCGTGAACCGGCCACCGTGCTGCGGTGCGCACCCCGTGTCTGCGCCTGTGCTCGTGGCCGGCCGGGTCATGCAGACAGACACGTAGAAGCGAGGTGGTCGAGCCAGAGAGTGTGACTGGGAGTTAGACCTTGCTTGACTTTCGGTGGGTTTGTCGTCCCGACACCCGTCAGGGAGGCCGTGCAGTGCCACTCTGGGAGGGCCACACGAGGGATTCCCTTTGCCAGTTGAGTAGGAAGAAAAAAGTCATCTCATTTTCATTTCATTTCTTCTTTGAAGGTTGAGCATCTTCTCACTGCCTTGTTTTTGTCTGGTCAGGTCTTCCCCACTCACCCTCACTGGCTCCTTGCTTGACGTCAGGCTTAGAAAGGTGTTCTCGAACCGAGGGGAGTCTCGGGCATTTTTCCCATGGATCGTTTTTTCACAGTCTCCTTTTTTCCTCCTAGTTTCTGGTGAAGTGCAACAAAGACACATGGTCCAGGGCAGCACGGGCCACCCCGGAGGGCAGGGGGTGCCGTTGGCTGTGGGGCCGCGTGCTGTGGGGCTCCCATGGGGAGGGAGGGTGTGCAGCACGGCCTGAGAGGCGCCCGCCCTGTCTCCTGGGGGCTCTGCCCTGCTTGCTACAGACTCTTCTCCTCCAGGGGTGGGTGCTGGGCGGGGCGGGAGGCTGCCCTTCCCCCACACCGGAGGCGGTGGATTTTGGGTGGCGCTGTTTCTGGGAGACGGAGAGTCAAGGCCGTGTCTGGGGCTTGCGGTGCAGCTCCGCCCCGCCCCTTCAGCCCTGCCCTGTGCTCTCCTCGCAGCCAGCCGTACATCGTGTGCCGTCAGTGTCCGCAGTACAGGCGGCAGGCGGCACGGCCCGTTCCCTGCCCGGCACCCGACGGCGAGCCGGCTGCCCCGCAGGCCCTTGGAGATGCACCGTCCACATCCACCAGCCTCGCCACAGGTGAGACACCGCTCCGTCAGACCGTGTCCCTCGTCACGTCTTGGCCCATGGTGACCGTGCTGACGAGCAGTGTGGCCGACGCTCTGCCACCTTCGCTCTGCGCCTCTCGCTGCTGGCCTGCCACCTGCCTCGGTGGCCCCCGCCTCTAATAGCTTGTTGCTTTTTGTAACTGATTTTGGTCGAAAAAAATCAGATAACTAAGTGTTCACCCATGATCTCCCTCCTGCATACCCCTGGGATTAGTCCTGGTTTTAACACTCGGTCTCTGCCCAGCCCACTGCCCAGGCAGCTGGCGTCCCTGCTGGGTTTGCAAACCCAAAGCGATGATCACACGTCTGGCCCTCACGTGAGAGACGGGCTTCTCTCCAGCAGTGGGTGGTGACGTCACCAGAAGCTGTCCTGTGCCTCGAGTCACCCCAAATGTTCTCCTGTCAGGTGCCTGGTTCCAGCAGGCGGATCCCCCAATGCCATGAAGAGAGGCGCAGGGGAGCTGGCCAGGGCGTGTGGGATGTGCAATTCTCGGCCCTGTCCGCTCTGTGATTCGTGCAGAGTGGGAAGATGGCCCTCCAGGGCCCTGGCCCGAAGCCATCCACCTGCAGTTGTGACTCAGAGCCACCTTCCTAGGCCGCAGTTCTCCCAGTGGCTTCTTGTAGAACCTGTGGGCGGGACAGGCAACGCGGTGCTGGGACACGGGTATGGCCGCGAGGCCACGGGCCTGGGTTTGGCTCTGCCGCTCCTCAGCTCTGCCTGGGGTGCCGGTCAGGTTCCTCCCTGTGCGTAGTAGGGACCCAGCACCTCCTTTGGGCTTGTCAGAGTGCTCGTGGGGGTCATGCGTGTAGAGGCGTGTTGTACCCAGCAGAGCCTGAGACCCTTGGTGGGTGCTCCAGAAGGTTGCAGTGGAGTTGCCGTGGGGGTGGTTGGCGTGTCCCCCGTGGTCTTTCCTCTGTGGACCGTGCGTGTCCAGGGAGCTTGGCCACGTTGGCACAGAGTGCCAGGTCAGGCAGTCGTACCCACTGTGCCTGTCACTTGTGTTTCTGCAGGAGGTAGCTATTAACTTCTGCCTTGGCAGAAGTTAAATACATAACTTGTTTTATTGCTTTACAATATTATATGTGCTCTGAGGGCCCGTCCTTCCTTTATAGGAAATATGAGAAAATCTTCAAGTGATCTTTGAAATCTTTCTATAACCCCTGAGCCAAAAGACAGTTTTTGATGACCCTTAAATCTACTCGAAGTCCCTTAGTTTGGGTGGTAGAATGTCATTTGGCTATTCAGAACAGGTCCAGCCTCCTTGGCGCTCTCGGGTCTGTCTCTCCTGAGCTTTCCACCGTCTCTCTGATGTGAGTCTAATCTGCTCTTTCTGCCCGTTGTTCTGACACGCGCTGCCCGTGGGCACGCGGCAGGCCAGGAGTACGTGTGCCCACTGCAGGGGAGCCACGCCATGTGCACCTGCTGCTTCCAGCCCATGCCCGACCGGAGAGCTGAGCGTGAGCAGGACCCACGCGTCGCCCCCCAGCAGTGTGAGTGAGCTGTGAGCCTCCGTGCTCTGCCCTGGAGGCCCAGGTTTCGAAGTGGTGTTGACTTTGTGTGGGGCGCGAAGGACGGATGCAGTTTCTCTTTTTTTCATCTACGTAACCAGTTGTCCCCACATGACCATGTTGAATAATCCATCTCTTCCCGCCTCGGATGATGCAGCCCCGATATAGGCCAAGTTTCCGTACACGGCAGTTCTCCTTCTGGGGTCTGTGTCTGTTTCTGTCCCCACATTGGTACCACAATTGTTTTATAATGTCTCACTTCTAAATCTAACAGATGAGGCCAGGCGCGGTGGCTCACATCTGCAGTCCCAGCACTCTGGGAGGGTGAGGCGGGAGGATCGCTTGAGCTCAGGAGTTCGAGACCAGCCTGAGCAAGAGCGAGACCCCATCTCTACCAAAAATAGAAAAATAAGCCTGGCGTGGTTCGCGCCTGTAGTGCCAGCTACTCAGGAGGCTGAGGCGGGAGGATCCCTTGAGCCCAGAAGTTTGAGGTTGCTGTGAGCTAGGCTGACGCCACTGCACTCTATCCAGGGCAACAGAGAGAGACTGTCTCAAAAAAATAAGTAAATAAACAAATGTAGGAGATGAAGGTGATGCTTTGTTTTAATACACAGGCCTTCCTGTTAAAATGGAGCCTGTCGTTGACTTAGCCTCTGTTTGAATTACCCCTGACTGAAACGTCTGCCCTTTCCTTTGCCTCCTTTTACGATGCTTCTTGGTTTCTAAGAGCACCACTGCTAACGGAGAGAACGTGAACCTGTGCGGCAGCGTCAGTCTGTTCCGATGGGGCACAGGTGCTGTCCTGTCCTGCACACTGGAGCAGCCAGCAGGACAGACACGGCCTCGGCACACGCTCTCTCTGGAATGATTTAAGAGTGTTCCGGGCACTCTCGCCACTGTCCTCCGGAGCCCGGCTTGGGCACAGGTGCAGGCTGGGCCTGTCGAGTAGGGCGTGGGCTCCAGGTCAGGCAGGTGCAGCTAGTCCAGTGGGACACAGCTTGGCTGCCTCTGGGCGGCCACTGCCCTCATCTGCATGGTGGCCACTTCCCACTGCTTGGTGTCACCTGTAGGGAGAGCAGATGAGAGGTCCCAGGGGACACCCACCTCCTGCTCCACGTACGCGGTGGGCAGCAAAGGGCCGCTCAGGGAAGGGCTTTACAAACTGGGCAAGAGGCCAGCTTTTCCTCAGCGATCTTTACTTTTGACTGTAATGTCATGTAGAATGCTTTTATACATAGAGGCATTTATGAAGTGATTACAGATTTTGAAAGACTTTTTTTTTTTTTCTGAGACGGGTCTTGTTCTGTTACCCAGGCTGGAGTGCAGTGGTGAGATCATAGCTCATTGCAGCCTCCACCTCCTGGGCTCAAGCTATCCTCCTGCCTCAGCCTCCCAAGTAGCGAGGACTACAGGTGTGAGCCACCACGCCCTGCCAGATTTTAGAAGACTTTAATGTTTCATACTATGAGAATTTTAGCTAGAGTTTACCTGATATTATATTTCAGAGAATTCTGCTCTATAGAATATTAAACATTAAAAAATAATGTCTACAAAAAGAAGGTAACAACATGAAAAAATACTCAGGTAGAAAAAAGGCATCTGCGAGCTGTGAGTACACAGTTGACTGCAAGGATGTCACACTTGGCAGAGCTGGGAGGAACCCACTGAAGCTGTGTCGGCTGAGGAGACAGATGTGATTCTAGCTTGTGCGGATCTCGTGGTTTTCCTGGGGCGAGTGTGTGCACGGTGTGAGAAACAGTGCGGGTCTGCAGCCCCAGCTGCCGCAGCTCAGTCCCCCTATGCTAGCTGGGGTGTGGCCCCTGCTCCCAGGTTCCAGGGAAACTCCTCGTAAATCGTGTTTTCAAAGACAGTTGAGCTCCTGAGTCTGGCATGACCTGGCATCGCGTCAGAGGCAGGCCGTGTGCCGGGTGCCCGCCTGACCAGCGTCCTCTGTCCACAGGTGCAGTTTGCCTGCAGCCTTTCTGCCATCTGTACTGGGGCTGCACCAGGACCGGCTGCTTTGGCTGCCTGGCCCCATTCTGCGGTAATACCGGCTCTTCAGCCATGAGTTGCTTTGACCTTGCGCTGTCTCTTGGTGAACTTGAGGGCAGGTGATGGTGGTGTCCATGGCCTGCTGGGGGGCGGGGCGGCCACTGCAGGTCACCAAGTGACCAACTGCCTTTTCCTGCTCAACTGAGACGTTTGCCATTTTCAAAGTGTCAAATTTGTGTCAGCTTAAAATAAAGCAATGACACAGAACAATTAGGGGACATACTAACTTTTAAGAACTGAATCCTTACTGCAGGGTCAACTTTTACAATACAGGAACAGGTGTGGACGAGACTCAACTTACCGTTTTAAGAAGGGAGTGAAATAGAAATCATTTTTACCTGTTGTCTGTTTAACGTTATATCATTGAACTTAATTTATTCTTTGTAGATCTATAATGAAATTTGTTTATTCTGTCAGGCAAATAATACTTTCATACGATGTCTTTATAAAACAGATAACATTGCTTCCCTTCATCTCGGCAGAACTCAACCTGGGGGACAAGTGTCTGGATGGGGTGTTGAACAACAACAACTATGAGTCAGACATCCTGAAGGTATCCCCCTCTCAAACGTGCCCTCGGGTTTAGCTGAAACCGAGAAGAAACCGCCCCATAACTTTCCCAGTTACTTTTAGGACTCCTTCTGCTCTTTCGGACTCAGACAGCCAGTTGTCCTGTGCATTCCATTGTCGTGTGCCTGTTTTCCCCATGGTCCAAAAATCGGCGTTTCCTTTTTGCCCGTCACGCCATAAATCCGTAGGAGTCAGTTCCCGAAGCTCACGGAGAGGGTTTCTCGCAAGTGCTGGCCCTGATGGGGGTTCTGCTCCCTGCGCCTTCCTTTTCTGGCCACTTTCCTTCCCACATTTGAGGAAGCCGGCTTGGCGCTCAGAGTTTTAATGTGTTTAATGCGCACGTCTGCCCTCTCACCCCGAACCTTGCTGACAGCACACGCACAGTGGGGCCTCCGCGTTCCCCGGGACACGACGGCGCACGCTGCGCTCAGCGGCACCGCCCTGTGCCTCGACGTCCACACGCAGGGGCACTTTCCTGTAGGTTTGCACAAAAGGAGCTAAACGGCTCCGTGTTTCTGAAGGGCAGAGAAGCAGACGCCAGGTCCTCAGCTTCTGCTGTTCCCAGACCGAGGCCTGTCATGGGACTCAGGACACCCCGGCCGAGGTTTGGTGTCTCGTTTGCACCTGTGCTGTGGGTGTCATTGCAGACATTTTGTGAAAACGTGGTGACTCTTACACTCGAGCTTCAAAAGCTAGCCGCCTTCTTTGGGAGGCTCTGGGACGAGACTCCTCACGCAGGGTCGTCTGGGCTGGCCCTGCGCAGGTGCTGTGCTCTGGCCCTACCCACCTTTGGGGCCTTTTCTGGGACGTTTCCTTTCTTCCCATTTTAGCATTTCTTCCCCTGAACTGGTATTTGTTCTTATTGCCCTTTTCCCCCTCGCAGAACTACCTGGCAACCAGGGGTTTGACCTGGAAAAACATGTTGACAGAGAGTCTCGTGGCGCTTCAGCGGGGGGCGTTTTTACTGTCTGGTAAGCTTCGTTCTCTTGCCACCATGCTCTGGAACGGACCCGAGTTTCCAAGGCTTCCTTTGCCTCCCGTAAAGCAGTAGAACCTGGCAGGCCGTCCCAGGCAGCATCACCTATCTGCTCTCCCACATTACGGCTTCGACCTCCACCCACCCTGGCAGATAGAAAGGTCCTGATACTTCTGGATGGTTTTTTAAAAATTTGGTTTGAACCTGCATGACATATGCCAGCACCTCTCCCCACAGAGGAGGGTGGGATCGCAACTTGGAGGGACCCCACCCTTATCCACGGGGGTCCTGGTGCCTGTAGTTCTCGGAGGCTCTGGTCTTGGTGTGCAGAGCATCAGCGAGGGTCGCCCTTCACCCAGGGGAGGACAAGGTGCCTGTGGAGTGGGATTTTCGTCACTAAGGGAGGCTGCAGAAATATCAACAGGGGGCTCTTTTTTCTAAGACATAAATTATTAAAAAAGAATTGAGGGGTTTTCCTAAAATCCTTTTAAGCTGTGTCTGTTTCATGGACGCATTCTAGTGAGCGTCTTTTGTGTGGGTGTCGGGTGTCCTGCGCTGTAACAGCTGCTGTGTGGCTGCCCAAATCTGTCAGCTGAGTCTGAGCTTCCTCGGGCTCTTAATGGCTTCTTATTTTTGGCTCACAAAGAAAATATAAGTGATATAGGGAAGAACAAAGGGTAAAGTAAAAGTCGCTGGAAATCTACTACCTTAGAGACACGCAGAGTTGATCTTTTCGTGATGGCCTGTCCAGGCACCTTTAAACACAGACCCCTGTTTGTGTACCTCACTCTCACAAAGTCCTGTGTGTGCGCTGTGTGTACCCTGGTTTTCACTCAGCAAGGTATCACGGACCCCTTCTGTCTATAAAGTTCTATATCTTGATTTTTTTAATTGCATACTATTCTGACGTCATGGTTTATTTGGCCAATTTATTAATACAGGATATTTAAATTATTTCCGGTTTTTCACCATTTTAAACAACATTGTAGTTGTTGAGCATGCAATGTTGTAGACTTGAAAAATCATCACCTTAGGATAAATAAATAGGATCCTTAGGACAGTGGTGCACACAGCCGAGAAGGTCACTGAGCGCTGTCTCTGTGCTGCCCCGGTGGTCCTGGGGGCTGCAGGCAGAAGCCCAGCCGTCAGCTCCGCACTTGCCTTCCTCGCGTCAGTGTGAGAGGCCAACAGTGACATGTCATTGTTCTATTCGCCCATTTTTGATTGTTAACTAAATTGAAGATCTTTTCGCATTTATGGGTCATTTGCTTGTCTGTGATCTTGGCCCATATTTATATTAGCCTATTTTGATTTTTTTTTTGCTATGGATTTGTACGTTAACCTTGTTAATTAAGGGCACAGTGCATGGTCATTTGTGTTGCAGATGTTTCCACTCTGTCATCAGGGTTTTGCGTCTGTTTGATGTGTATGTTTCCATTGTGGTGTTGAAGTTGTGAATCCTTTCTGGTGTGCCCTCTGGTTTTCATGACATGCTTAGAAATAGGTCAAGAGAAAATAATATTCATTTTTTTTCTTAGTACATTTTTGGATTTTTTAATATTTAAATTTTTTATCCATGTGGGTTATTTTGCTGTAAGAAAATAAATTGGCGTATCTTGGTTTTGCTCGTTCGGCCCATGGCCTCAGCCCCACTCATGGGTCAGCGTGTTAGCTCCCCCGGGTGTGAAGTGCTGCGTCTGTTCTGCTCTGGAAGGGGACGCGCCTGATAGCTGGCTGTGTCTGCATGAGGCCATTTCCTTCCAGATCACAGGGTCACGGGGAACACTGTGCTGTGCTACTGCTGCGGCCTGCGCAGCTTCCGGGAGCTGACCTACCAGTACCGGCAGAACATTCCTGCCTCCGAGTTGCCAGGTGAGGCTCCCCACCCTCACCCCTGCCCACGTTAACACTGTTCGGATCGGCCTCCTTCACAGACACTGGGCCTGGCCTTTGCTCGTTCCCAGCAAGGTGGGAAGCGGGCAGAGAAACAGGCTGTCTGAGGCCCTTAGTCTGTTTGCTGTCACCAATCAAGGCATCCAGGCAGTGCTGGTTTGTAAAACAAGATACATAGAGACATCTGGTAGACAACTGGAGTTATTTCATTTCCTAAGTTGGATTTTCAATTAAATGTGTTTTCCTTTCCTGAAATCTTGAAACAGTCCAAGGGAGTTAGTTTTAAAGAGTTACAAGATGCTGGCGTTTCAGCTGCAGTTTCTCTCGTTGGACCTCTACTTAAATGCAATTCAGTTGGCCGGGCACAGTGGCTCACACTTGTGATCCCAGCACTTGGGGAGGCTGAGGGTGGAGGATCACCTGAAGCCAGGAATTCAAGGCTGCAGTGAGCTATGATCACACCACTGCACTCCAGCCTGGGCAACAGAGTTGAGACCCTGTCTCAAAAAAACAAAAAAAAATTCAATTGCTATATCTAATAGATATATGTAATTTTTTTCTTTTTCTAGTGGCTGTGACATCCCGTCCTGACTGCTACTGGGGCCGTAACTGCCGCACTCAGGTGAAGGCTCACCACGCGATGTGAGTGAGGCCGGGGATGCCTGTGTGGCTGGAGGCTTGGGAAGGCAGGGGAGACAGCCCACTATCTGCTCATAAATATGCTAATTCAGTCATTACGCCTCTACAAAGCCACGCAGTATGCAAAGCAACCTCTCCATTTAGGAATCCTTCTCTTCTGTTACCTTATTTGGTGAAATGTTTATTGCAAAGGTTCGCTTCCATCTTCCACTCTGCGTCTTCGCGGCTGGAGTCACTGGCAGCTTCCGGGGGTGCCCAGCGTCTGAGGCTCAGCAGCTTCTGAGCCGGGGTCACCGCAGGCCCACTCACAGAACCAGGGCAGCTGGGGGTCTCTCTGACTGAGCGGTGAGGTGATCGCCACAGTCAGCCCCCGCCAGTGTGCAGGCCCAGCAGTCGCTTGTGGGCTCCTGGTTCAGGGCACAGTCCTTGAGACAGTGCCGTCAGCACGAGAGACGTCTTCTGATAAAGGTGATCCCACGAAGGAGTGATTTCGTGGACTAAAAACTTTGCTTTGTGCTTGAGCACAAACAGCACGTGGAAGAGACCGTGTTGTGAGAAAAGAGATTTCACTGGTGACTGGCTCACCTTCCTCCGTAGGAGCACGGATCAGGGCGGCAAAGGCGCACCTGACGTGTGGGGCTTGTGGGAGGGCAGGTGGCCATGCCTGGGACCGACAGCACCGCGGGGACGCTCTGAAGAAGCTCAGCTTTTGTTCTCTTCTCTAAGAAAATTACCTAAGATGTTTTCACTTCTCTTTTAAAAATTTAAAAGAGAAAAGGAAGCCTACCTTTAGGCGTTAGTTTCTTTGATATGATTAGAAATATACCGCTGTAAGTCCACACACACACACACACAATGTATTTCTCAGGTAGTTCTTCCAGGGTATGGTTTCAGAATTTATTTGAATACCTGTCTCGTCCTCTTGTGTAATTTGACCATTTTCTCCCTGCAGGAAATTCAATCATATCTGTGAACAGACAAGGTTCAAGAACTAGGAGTCGGGAAGCCCTCGTCGCTGTGGCGTGTTGGAGGCAGTGGCAGCACGTTGTAGAAATACCGAACACAGACACGTTAGGGCATCTCTAGGGTCCCCTGAGATGCTGGGGTCTCTGGTCAGGGCCCCTGGTGTGACTTTCTCTGTGGTGGAGTTCTGCCCTCCAAATGAGACCTCCCACGGTGCCTGGGGGATCTTGGGAGCCTCAGCCTGTCCTGGCAAGCGCTAGGAGGGACTCACGATGGCTGGAACAGCAGAGACTGAAGCGCTTCCCATGGACAGAGTCGTCCCTTCCCACTGAGATGGGGACAGCGCAGCTTTGCTCTTTCTGTGCCCTTTCCATAACTAGAGTTAAAACAAATCTCTTTTCAGGAAAAGTTTCAAGGGAGAAAGGGGAAAGTTTATCAAAAACACTCTGTTTAAGGAAAATGGAACGTAAGTTTACAGCCTACAGGATGTACAGAATATTCTACTGTTGGGAAAACCACAGCGTTTTATATATTTTTTATTTTAATAGGTTTGGTGCTTATCTTCTAATAAGATTTAAATATCACAAACTGTAGCACAAATAATATAATTTATAATTTACAAATCGACTAAAATTGGGTATAGTATGGTATTTGAAAGAATAAGCATATGTTTCTGTTTATTAAAAAAAATGAAATCTGTCCATGTCCCAAACTGCTCACCCTAGAAGTGGATGTCACGTTATGGGCTCCTTGCTAAGGAGCGTGAGTCACCACCATCGCCAGCACAGGGCTGACCGTGGGTCCTGGGTGAGGCGGCAGGACGCAGGACAAGGCGCAGGACGCACCACCCCCTGAGCTCCCTGAGCCCCCGCGGCAGGCCCTCCCCACAGAGACCCCGCAGCGTGTGAAGGGGGAGCACGCTGGGCCTCTGTTTCTGGGATCCCTTTCCCGCATTACGGTTGCCATGTCATCTGGAATAATACTTGAAATTTTGGTTTTTGTAAAAAAAAAAAAAAAAATTTATCTTTTGTTGAAATCACCTGTTATTTTTGTTTGCAATCTGGTAACTTTTTTGCTTCTTCTCAGGAATACGATTTTCAACTGTTGTCTTGCTCTTGATACACACTGAGAAGCGGCACTCTGATTTGTGGAAGAAAGTCCTCTCTTTTGCAATCTAATAAACAGGCCACGTTTGTTTCGCTCCCCGTGTTGGACTTGCTTGTGTGTGGGCCGCCCCACATGATGGAGACAGACTGTGTGCAGATTTACTCGTTCTTTACTGCCGGAAACGTTTACTTTATTGCCTCCTAGTAGATCTGGTGACTCCATCGGCACATTGGCCACGTAGGGTGAGCTGGGCTCGGGGCCCAAAGTCTGAGCGTCTGGTGAGAACGGCACAGTATCTCTTCATTCTGCCACAACCTGTCCATCCAGTGTTGAAGCTTTGTCTTCAGCCGAGCACCAGAGAAAGCCCCAGGGCAGAGATCTCGTGTTTGTGCAGGAATGAGGCCGAGAGGGGAGACCCCGAGATGGTGCAGGAGTGAGGGGCGTGCAGGAGTGAGGCCGAGACGGGAGGCCTTGCAGGTCCCGGGAACGAACTGGGGCTGCCCTGTGTCGTAGAGGGAGTGGCTGATCACACAGGCTCCTTTCCCCTCTCCAAAAAGTAAAAATAAAAATGCCGACCCTGTAGAGGATACAGCAGCTTTTTCATGCCTTGGTTTGAACAGAACCAGCAACTTCTGGGTCTCGCTGGATCTGTCCAGGAAGGGCAGGACACTCGCAGAGCTCCGGGCACTGCACAGCCTTGGGAGTCGCTTTTGCTTCCTCCTTCATTCTTCCTTAGAAACCTGATACCTGGTTCCCAGCGAAGGGGCTGATGAGACTTCAGAACCCTGGCGTGGTAATGAGCCACCTGCCCACAGAGGCAGGTGGGCCTGGACTCGTGCAGCGCTTTTGTCGTCTTCTGTACTTCCTGTTCCTCACAATCCTCCCACCCAAAGAGACCAACAAGCCACAGTTGTCTGAGAGCCCCTGTCCCTATGGGTGGCCGCACAGGCTCACTCAGGCTTGTCCCGGAGGATGGCCTGGCAGCAGCCACAGACTCCTACTGCTTCTGCCCAGCTCCTTGAGCCTCGGAACAGACCCAGAGCTGGCCTGCAGCTGACCACGGGCTATCGCCCCACACGCCCAGCGCATACTTGCCGACTCTCTGCAAGCCCTGTCTCCTGTGTGCTCTGGTGCAGCACAGGGCACCTCATCCTCCCAGTGCCCTGCTCAGAAGCTGCGGCCAGTCCTGCCCACCTGCCTGTCCCATCAGCTGCACACCCTTCAGTGCCGTCAGAGCGAACCCTTCCTGGCCCAGAGGGTTCTGAGCTCCAAGCCAGGGGAAGAGGCCTAGAGGTTCTGCATGAGCCACTTGGCCCCACAAATGCCAAGCAAATTGGGTAAAACAAGAAGGACTTGGGGATGAGGGCCAACCCTCCCGCTAAGGCCAAATAAAAGCCTTTGAAACAGGTTCTAAATGATCTTAATTACCTTCACGCTAGCCGGGCAGCAATGCTTGGTCAGGCCCAGATCCGAGAGGTGGGAGTCCAGCGCTGCTGCCTGCACTGTGGCCAAACGACAGAGGCAGCTGAGAGGCTGGAGGGGCTTCCGCCAGCTGGAGGTTCCCCTGCTCTGGGCTGGTAGCCCAGGAGAGAGCCACAGCTGGCCTCAGCAGAGAGACCCAGATGCTGCTGCCAGGGCCACCAGGTCACCAGGAGCCTGGCACTGGGCAACAGCTTTCCTCGGGAGAAAGCACAGGAGAAACATGGATTTGTGCATTATGCTTTTCTTACGTCTAAGAACTCTCCCCAAGCTGTAGGTCCTGAAAATGTTCTCATATTTTCTTCTAAAAGTAGTAGAGTTTCATACATTTTCAACTTAAGTCTGTGATCGTTTTGAATTAAAATTACGATTTTATTTTTGGAGCCAGGGTCTCCGTAGCCCAGGCTGGAGTGCAGTGGCACAATCATAGCTCACTGCAATCTCAAGCGATCCTTCTGCCTCAGCCTCTGAGCTGCTGGGATTTCAAGCATGAATCACCACCTTGAGTTAAAATTTGCATTTGCAGGTGACTTGATGGTCTATGTAGGAAAAAAAAAAAAAACCCTAAACAAACCCTATTACTAATAAGTCAGTTCAGTGAAGTCTCTGGATACAAAGTCAACACAGAATTCACCACATTTCTGGAGACTAACAGTGAACATGTAGGCACCAAAGTAAAAACCACAGTGCCATTTACAATAGCTTAGAAGAAGATGAAACACTTGGGTATAAACTTAACAAGACGTACAGAATGCGTATGCTGAAATTGCAAAACGTGGATGAAAGAAATCGGTGAAGACCTAAATAAATGAAGAGACCTACCATGTACACAGATCGAAGGGCTCAGTCAACACAGGAAAGATGTCGGTTCTCCCCAGTTTGATCTGTACTTTAATGCAATTTCTATCAAAATCCGGGAAGAGTTTTTTGTAGACAGACAAGCTTATTCTAAAATGTGGAGGGAGACGTCACGGCTTTCGGAAAAGCGGCCGCGGCCAAGACTGCCCTGTCGGTGGGGGGACGCGCACCGAGCACGCTCAGCTGCTTCTGCACAAATGTGCAGAAGCGATTTTTGGGAGGAATTTAATGTCTTTTCAGTAATCGGAGCGGGAACAACTCGATACCCCTAGGCAAGAACCATCGCCACAGCTCTGGCCTTCGCCTCACGCCCTAGGCCATCGCGTTCATGCTGCGGAAAAGCGAAACAGCGCGGCGGGCGCACGACCAGCGCCGGGGGGAGCAAGGGCCAGGCCGGGGGGGAGGCAGGACCGCGCGGGGCGGGGTCTTCAGACCACGCCCACCATCCGACGGGGCTAGCTCAGCCACGCCCACATCCTGACAGATGGGGCGGGGCAGGACCGGGACTGAGCCCGGCCACGCCACTTCCGCCGGAAGCTCAATTGTTCAGCTTCCCGTCGGGATGGGTCCTGAAAGTCCGGAAGTTACGTTGGTACGAGGGAAAGTGCTGCAAACTCTTAAAGTCACTTTCTGAAATCTGCCTAGGGCCGGTTAGGGGTGAGCTCGACATGGACCCTGCGGCCAGAGCGTCCCTGGCCCTAGGACGGCTGGTGGCGAGCAGAAGACTACAGTCTCTCTTCCGGAACGGAGGCAGCGCGTACAGGCTGTTTCCGGGGGGCCCGTAGTCGGTGCACCGCCGCGCCCCGCCTCTCGCGCGGCCACGTCTCCGCCGGAGCAGCTGCGCGGGGCGGCCGCCGCGGCTTCCACAGCGCTGGGGTGAGGGTCGCGGGCGCCACGGTGCCCCGGGGCCGGGCTCTTGCCGGGAGAGGGCCCAGGATTCGGCGGCGGAGGCCGGGCGGCGGGCGAGGGGCAGCCAGCGAGGGGCGGCGGGGCCTGGGCGCGGCTGCCTCCGGGAGCGGTGCGGTGACCGCCGTTCCAGTCACCCTCCTCACTGCTGGTAGCCTCGGGGCCTGGAAGCCAGCTTTCAGCTGTTAGCGGAGCCGCCTCCGTGGACACTGATTCACTTGAGCCCTTCCGGAACGCTTGTCTGCGCCTAATAGGATGTGATTTGTCTCAAAGGTGTCTGCTGCTACCGCTCGGGCAGTACTTATGTTTTAAGTCTCGTCCTTTGCAGTTTAATTTTTTTTTTTTTTTTTGAGAAGAGGTCTCGCTCTGTCGCCCAGACTGGAGTGCAGTGGCGTCATTACAGCTCACTGCAGCCTCCACCTCCTGGGCTCAAGCCATCCTTCCACCTGAGCCTCCCGAGTAGACAGATGTCATTTGCAGTTGATGACAAACGTGACATGGTGTCGGGCAATTTGTGTGCGACCGTATTTTGAAGAATCCATGTAGTTCCCTGTTTGCCTCTGTTCCCGGCAGACTTATTATTTCTATTCTAGGTGCTCAGAGGTGTTTCTCTGGTTCAGTGCTACTGTCCAGAGGGAGTGGGTCCGGGCAGCCAGGCATTGTCACTAGTAGGAACCAGGTGAACAGCTCGACCTTCATCCGCCAAATATTTACTGAGTGCCCGTTGTGTGACAGGTCCTGTTCACGGAGGCCCCAGGGCTCCGTGGTGAAGTCTTGTCAGGTCCCCTGCCCTCACTGAGCTCGCCTAGCGGAGGGACACAGGAGGTCGTTACTGAGAGTACTGATGGTGATGGGGGGGAGGGGTAAGCTGCTTTGAGTTGCATGGGGAGATCCGTAAGGGAGGTGACTTTTGTGCCAAAGCCTCTGTGAGAAGCTAGCCATGCACAGTTGTGGGAAAAGAGCATTTGAAACAGAATGAACTGGAAGTGTGAAGACCTTGAGGAAGGAGTAGTTCGGTGTTTATGGCTAGTGTATAATGAAAAAGGAGGAAAGTGGTAGGAGTTAGGGTGTAGATGTAGGCAGGGGCCAGATCACTTTCTGCTTCATAGTTCCTGGTAAGAGGCTGGATTTTATTATCATTGGGACATTGCAAGCCATTTACAGGTGACTCATGGATTTTTTTTATTTGTCTCTTTAATATCATGAACTAGCCCTTTATAACCCTTTAACAGCTTTTGGTTACAGTATTCTTTGAATGCCAAGGAAAGGAAATAAGTCATCTGTAAAGTGGGAATAGTAGAGAAAAAGAAAAAGAAAAGGAAATAAGTCACCCGGCATTGCTCAGATTCAAAAGTAGCTTTTTTTCCTTTCCTTTTCTTTTTCTTTTTTTTTTTTTTTTGCCAATTGTCTTAAGAAATAATATATTTTCTCAGTTGGCTTTTACTTACCCATTTTGACAGGGAACAATTGAAGGGAAAGTAACAATAATAATTGTTCCCATTTTATTGAAGATGTGGGACAGACCCGGTGTCTTCTTGCATTTAATTCTGGTAGAAATTTTATACTGTTTTTCTCATTGGTTTACTGATGAGGAAACAGGCTAAGAGTGGGTAAGAAATCTTCGGAAAGTCTCATAGCCAAGTGGTGGAGGAGTCAGGCTATGAAGTAGAGAGGTCTGATTCCCCAGCCTGTCCACCTCTCCTCTGTGTCTCTGCTGTACATGGGGCTTGCTTTTGGCTTTCACTTTGTATATAGGACTCCGTGTATCTTTGGACACTAGTGTAGCCTCCCTCAACCAGATGTTATCTTAAGGAAATCTTGTTTTATCTTTGTGCTCTATTTCTAACTGCTGAGAGGAACAACTTAGATCAGGTGGGGTCCACGGAGCTGTTAATGTATATATGTGGAATTTATCTCATCTGCTGAACGGGGGAAGCCAGAAGTCCTACAGGCGCCTGGGGTGGTGGTTTCTCAATATGAAGTCCCTTGATGTTAGACGGGTGAACCTCGATTTGTGAGTGCCTTTTCAAGTTCCAAGTGACAGCTTTGTCCTGTTTCTTCCCTCTAGGACACATAGGAATGCAAGTGGTCAAAAATAAGACTGACCTCTTTATTTTTTTTTAAATCACAAAATGGAGTGCCTGTTACCAATAACAGCTTCCTTGCGACACACCCCCAGCTGTCTGATCCTCCTCCAGTTGCCCAGAGAGTTGCTTTTGTCAGCGGTCTGAGGTAATGAGCCCCTGAACGACTGAGTCATGCTAACTAAAATTCGAGTGAGACTGAGGAGCGAGAATGCCAGTTTATTGCCCTACAGGGAGAAGTATCACTGTCACCAGACTCCACTTTGGGCACAGACAGTAAATACTGTCTCTGTAGTCCAGCCTCAAGAGGAGCTGCAGATAAACAGGAGCTGTCTTTATGAGCTACCAGAATAAGTCACAGTCACGGGGTCTCCGTTCTGGGTGGGGGTAGGACTGCTTAGGAGTCACAAGTCATTTCTTACTTAGCAAGAAATCAGAATAAGGGAATTAAGTGAGTGGAATCCGTGATGGCTTCAGGCCCAGGCAGCCCGATATGTTTGTCGCCGTGTTTGGCGTGCCTTCCCCGTGGCTTGAACATCTTGGCTAACGTGTGTCTTTCCTGGGCAGTGTCAGGGATGGGCATCGTCACCCTTTGCCTCTGTGGCAGTTCCCTTCTGCATAGTCTGTCTTTAATGGCTAAATCTGGTCCTGCTGACCGTCCGGTTCTTCCCGTTCAGGGGATGCTTGTTTCGGGTGCAGCCTTTGCAGTCTGCCCTTCTCGTCGGTAACTCCCAGGGCCACTCTTTGTCCCCCATCGAAACTGGAGCTCTCAGGTGTTCTCGGCAGGAGTAGTTGAGAGATTCTCTGTATTTTAAAAGGCAGTGTTGATGCTCAGGGATTCAAGTACTTTATCATTTTGTTTTGGAACCGTTAGCTCAGTTGCGAAGGGATGCACTTGGCAGAGCCAAGGGTTCGATTCAGCAGCCTGTGTTGAGTCTTCTGAGTGGGGAGTGTGGGAGGTGGTGGGGACACAGACTGGGAACGGTAGTTCGTGTTTTCAGGGGTCTCACCGGGTGACGGACACGCACACGGTTGCAAGCATGACGTGCTGTGGTAGAGGGCACGTGTGTGAGGTACAGCGATGGCACAAGGGAGTGTGCCAGGCACTGTGCCCACGAGGCCAGGAGAGATTCAGAGGCAGCGCCTGATGCAGGCGCGGGAGGACGGTGGGGACTCAGCTGGTGGTCGAGGGGAAGGGCGTTCCCAGCAGAGAGGCCAGATCCGCGGTCGCAGAGACATGGAACGCTTTCACCTGACACACAGGGCATGTGGGCACTGCGGGGACAGACGGTGATGTAGGTGCCGTCCCCTGCACTCCCACCCCCGCCAGGCAGAAGCAGAGACATACGTCAAAGCAAAATCCAGAAGTTTCCTTTTGCTGAGGACCCTTTCAGGATGACCATCCACACAGTACGCCAGTAACCAGTGACAGAGTCCACATTTCATCACGGTCGTTCCTGCGTGTCCCTCTGTAACTCTTCTGTCCTGGAAGTGGCAAGTCTGTGGTGAAGGGGCCATGTTGGCCATCGTTTTGCTGGTGTGCCTTACCCTGCTCCGTGTGTCTTCCCCACAGCGTCATGCCTTGGCCTGGCTGGCTTTCCACCAGCTGTCCTGGGGAGGGTCTAGGTGTGTAGCTGGGGGGCCGGCATGGCGAGCATCACAGTGGTTTTCCTGTGAAATGGTGGTTTTCAGAGGGTTCTGTGGAGTGTGTGAGGACAGCCGTGTAGCTCAAGTCTCTGCCCAGGCTCTAGGCATTTACCTACCCACCCATCCAGAAAACCTCCAGGGACGAAAGATGTTACTGATGATTGTAAAGACAAAAATGAGATTGAGGATTCATTGCACACAGGATTATTTTTGGGCTAGCCTCAATAACTTCCTTAATTTCTGTGATTCAGACATTGTTTTACTGTTCAAATATTTATATGTGCTAGTCAGGCTGACTCCCAGAGTCCTTTGCAGTAGTTCTTTGATTAGCTATATTGGATTTATAGTTACTATTGTTATCACACATTTCTATTAACAGTACTTTCTAGTTACAAGCCCTTAATGCTAGTTTTACACTGATAACACACACAACCTTTTTGTGTTAACAACACTGTTAATAACTTACACCGGCTCTGGCCTGTAGGGTGCCAGGTGGCAGAGAGGAAAATGTGGGTTATTACAGTTACAAGCAAACGCCCACAGATCTGCACATCCCTGCATCAGTCACTGACAGCGTCAGGCGACTGGGTCACACCCACCACCAACGGGCGCCCTTCCTCCACAGGTGAACAGGAACAGGTGGCAGGTAGAGTGACAATGAAAGCTCCTGGAACGACCGGCACCCTGCACGACCTGCCGCTGCCAGTCAGCAGCACACCTCCATGTCGAGGGCCGCTTGTCTGTAATTTCTGTAGGGGATTTGTAAGCTAGAGACGAAGGCTGTGTAATGTTTATCAAGAAACATGTCAAATACAGAACATAATGTAGGATACGATGAAACTTACTGTAAAGGAAGTAAATGCCGTCATTTCTGTAGCATGAATAGAAGGTCATGCTAGTGTCGTATCTGCTAAGGAAATGAGTTCATAACATCAGTACCTTTCAACGTTGGTAAACCAATTGCCAAACTTTGGGCAAGATTTTAGTCCCTTAAATCTAGTCTAGCAGGTGGGTTGCAAGAAAGCTGGTCCGGCTAGGGATGGAAACAGGGTGGCCACCTTCTCTGGCCCCGAGCCCGGGTCGGCTGCCTTTCCCTGTGTCCTTGCACCCCCACCTCGTACCCAGTCACCACATCCATGGCAGCTGCTTCTTTAACGTTGTCCCTCTAGATCTGAGCTGTCCACCTTGCAGGCTGGGGCTGCCCAGCGGGAGCTGTGGCCTTGGGTGCAGCCACTCAGGTGGCCCGGGAGGGGAGCTTGCCCTGTGAGCACCTAGGCCTGTAGCTCTAATGTAGAACTGGCCACATGTCGCTGTTTCAAATTAATTGCATTTAAATGAAGTTTAAGACTTAGATCCTCAGCTGCCCTGTGTGGTGACTGCGGCCCAGAGGCAGAGCGTCTCCATCCTGGCAGAAGGCTCTTTAGCCGGCAGCGGTGCAGACAAGTACCTTCGGGAGGGCTGGGGTGGCCAGTTCAGCGTTTTATCCTCAAAACCTAGAATCTTGTAGGTCCTCAAGGATTATTTGTTGAATAAATAATCTGTATTTATTTCTTATACATGTTATATGCAAATTGGGAACCAAATGTTAATTTTGTAATTGTTACTTGAAATCGATTAATGAAGTTTCGTAATACAGTTTTTGTCTTTCCCTTCTGTCAGGTATCGTGATATTAGCTGGCTGGACTTCAAGCTGTCTGTGAATCTTTAAATCTTACCCTGAAAATGAAAAACATGGTGGGGTCCTTCCCAGGAGCTCTTGCTTGTTGCTGATGGCAGAAACCAGGCTTGTCTGCAGCTCACTCGCAGCCCTTTGGTGTCGACTCAGCCCGCGTCACGCTGACCATGGATGGTGCGGCAGCCGAGCAGGATGGCGCCTTGGAGGACACACCCGGCAGCGGCACTTCACCTCCCCCTCAGGTCCCCCTGAAGCCCCGGGGCTCGCCGGCACTGCCTGACGTGTGGGACAAGGCCCAGCGTAAGTCATCGGGTCACTCTGTGTGCTGCTAGACAGGAGGACACGGTCGGGTTGTGTTTTGGAGGAGGGCTGTGGTGTCGGGACATTCGGAGTGTGTTTTGGTGACCGGATGCATGTTTTTCCTCAGTCGGTGCTAACTTTAGAGCAAGCACCATTGGTGCTAAACAGAATACGAACAACCTAGTCGTATTTTCCTGAAGGCGTCTGTGGGTCTTCACTGACATGGTGTTGCTCCCTGCCTAAATTTCTACCTGTTTGGTTGGTCACTTGCCAGGCTTTAATAACTGGAATTCAGAAATGATCCAGTAGAGATCTAAGGGTTACTGAGTCACATTTTTATGTCTGTGGCTGGGTCATGTCATGGCCCTTCCTGGTCAGGAGGTGTCAGTGCAACATCAGCTTTAAAGCTGTAGGTTACAGATGTAATAATTTACTAGCAGAAGTTGCGCTCCGACTCCTGTGAGATGATGCTCAGGCACGGAAGACGGCTTTGCTGGTTATTGCCACGTAAGTGCCAGGGGAGGCAGGTAGCAGCATATGGGCCTCAGACCGTGGAGTCCGAAACAGACAGACATGGAACCGGCTTTCAAATCTGCCACTTGGGAATGACGTGCCCTCAAGCAAGAGACTTAATTCCTCTCCACCTCCGTCTTATGTAAAACAGGAGATTAATGGCACCCTAAATCAACGGGCTGTCATGAGGGTTAAAAGAAATGATGCACGTAAAGTGCCAAGAGCGTGGCGTGTGTCCAGGCTGTGGTGGTGGCCGTTTTTGTCATCTTACCATCGTTGTTGTTTGTTTTTCCATAGTTAGGCTCATGTTTGGAAACAATAGAGTCTTACTGTTTATTGGGCCTTTTTACTTTTAGATTTTTTAAAACCTGCAGTATGATTCTCAGAAAAACACTTTGTTGAGTAAACAGGAAGGAACCCATCAGAAAGTGGCGTTACCCCATCACGCTGTGTCTGACATGCAGCAGGACTGAAGCAGTCGTTTGCGTGGAGAGCAGCAGCTGTCTCAGGGCAGTGACTGGGTCCCCTTGCTCTGCTTCCTGTCTGTGGCGCCTGTTTGTATCTGGTTTATGTTTCGGGGAGGCATGATAGTGAATAGCTGTTTTAGTTGGGATTCACATCTGCAAGTGACAGAAACCTTTTTTTTTTTTTTTGAGATAGAGTCTCGCTCTGTTGCCCGGGCTAGAGTGCCGTGGCATCAGCGTAGCTCACGGCAACTTCAAACTCCTGGGCTCAAGCGATCCTCCTGCCTCAGCCTCCCGAGTAGCTGGGACTACAGGCATGCGCCACCATGCGCACCTAAACTACTGACACAGTTTTGCCATCTTTTTTTTTTGAGACAGAGTCTCACTCTGTTGCCTGGGCTAGAGTGCCGTGGCATCAGCGTAGCTCACGGCAACCTCAAACTCCTGGGCTCAAGCGATCCTCCTGCTTCAGCCTCTCGAGTAGCTGGGACTACAGGCATGCGCCACCATGCCCGGCTAATTTTAGCTGTCCCATTAATTTCTTTCTATTTTTAGTAGAGACAGGGTCTCGCTCTTGATCAGGCTGGTCTCGAACTCCTGAGCTCAATCCGCCCGCCTCGGCCTCCCAGAGTGCTGGGGTTACAGGCGTGAGCCACCGCGCCCAGCCAGAAACCATTTTTAATTTGCTTGCACACAAAGGGAATTTCCTGGATGTGTGTTGGGTACGTCATGGGATCCAGTGACGCCAACCCCTGTGAGAGCTCAGGGCCTTGCCGGGCCTTGGGACCCACTGGAGCTGGGGCTCGGACCCCCACAGGACCCTGCTCAGACCATTCTGGCCTTTGCCGACTGGCTTACCCGTCAGGGTGAGGGAGAAGACTAAGACTCATTTACTTGCAATGAGTCCTTCTTCCTTTTTTTCCATTTGATGAAGAAGTTTGCATAGCGAATAATCCTATGTATGATAATATTAATGGGTTAGCCTAAGTTTAATACATGAGTACAGGGTTGTCATTGGTTAAACTTGAGTTTCTACCTAACTGGTGGCCTTCAAGCAGAAGCACAGTCCTGGGCTCTGTGCTCAGCGTTGCCAGAATTGCTCAGATCAGATGATCTGCCTGTTTGCCTCAGATTTCTCGTGTTGGAGGATGAACTTGTGCTTTGGAATGACTTTAGAATCAGGCCTTCGTGAATGTGACTGTGGTAAGCACTGCTGTTACCAATTCTTGTTGAAAAAATTGTCAGCTATGTTTTAAGTTGTCATTTTCTTTTGCCTTTTTTTTTTTTTTTTTTTGAGACAGAGTCTCACTCTGTCTCCCCGGCTACAGTGCAGTGTTGTCATCATAGCTCACTGCAGCCTCAAACTCCTGGGCTCAAGTGATCCTCCTGCCTCAGCCTCCCAAGGACCTGGAACTACAGGCGCGTGCCACCACACCTGGCTAATTTTTCTGTTTTTTGTTGAAATGGGGTCTCGCTGTATTGCCCAGGCTGGTCTCAAACTTCTGGCCTCAAGCCATCCTCCCACCTCGGCCTTACAGGCCCAGTGCTAGGATTACAAGAGGGAGACTTTGCCCAGCCCTCTTTTGCTATTTTATAAAAGCAGACTTTGACGAGATTTCGTACTGGTCTTATGGAAATGAAAGGGAAACATTACTACTTAAGTTTTACAACCGTAGTGTGGAGGGTGAGGCCATTTTACAGGTGAGGACGCTGGGGCCCAGAGCAGCGGTGGCACCTGTCCCGAGTCCCCCTGCCTGCAGGAGGAGGAGTGGGGCCTGCTCTTCTCTCAGAGTGAGCATGTTTATGAGATCTGGAAATGCTCATGCTCAGGTATCCAGAGTATCCTCTGCCCTGCGTTAGCTGCATGTCTGAAAAATGACTTGATCGTGTTGTTAGGACCACGGTGGCCCAGTGTGCTCTCTCTTTCCAGGTGCCGGTGTCGAGGTACACAGAACTTCCAAGGAAGGAGAAAGCCCGCATGGACCTGGCCAGGGAGGCCTCTGCCAGAACGGGCCAACACCGCAGCTCCCAGACCCACCACTGTCTCTCAATCCCACCACAAGCCCGGTGGTTCCAGATGCCTCTCCAGGTGTGGCTGGTTTCCATGACAACCTAAGGAAGTCTCAGGGAACTAGTGCTGAGGGCAGTGTTAGAAAAGAAGCTTTGCAGTCTCTCAGCCTCAGTCTTCCTATGCAAGAAACGCAACTGTGTAAGCATCTGTTCTCGCCGGGCTCCTCCCCTCCCCGTGTCAGCGTCACCAGCCCCCCGAGAGCCTTGCCCTGAGCACCTGCTCAGGCGCCTCCCCTTGCCATGTGCCGTCTTGGTACCGTGGTGGGCTGTGTGCTTAACAAGGCAGCTTCGTTTTTAAAGACTGAAAATGCACGCGGCAGTTGAGGCTCCCCTGCAGCCTGATGTTGGCAGTGGCACTGACGCCCTTGATCCAAAGGCCAGCCTCGTGTCCCTTGTCACCACGTGGTTCGTACGCAGACTGTGGAGGACCAGTCCTGAGACAGTTTACGGTTATGCTTGGAGGTGTCACTGATGAATTATTTTAACTTTTTTTTTAAGGGACAGGTCTTGCTATGTTGCCCAGGCTGGTCTTGAACTCCTGGCCTCAAGTGATCCTCCTGCCTCAGCCTCCTGGGATGAATTATTTTAATCAGCATTTACTTTGTGCTAATCTCCAGAAACTCAGAGATGAACTAACCACACTCTGGCAGCCTGTGGGCCCTAGAAACCTTGAGACCTTTTTCTCACCATTACTTTTCGTATGAACATGTGTGTAACTTTACATAATGAGGCTGTATCAGACATGCCATTTCTCACCCCTCGTCCCCTTCAGGCCTCGTTCCTGCCCACAGGACCCATGTTTTTGGTCATTGTTTTTTAAAATGGGATTGTCTTGCTCACGTGACGGCATGTTTTCCCCACTTGGCTCGATCACAAGGAGACTGTTGCGTTGCCTGACGTGGCTCTGGGCTGTTCTTTCAGTGTGGCTGAGTCAATGCTCTGCGGCCGTCTCCTGCCTGTTGTTTCTGGTCCTGGGCCATGAGGCGTAGTGCTTCAGCGAGAACCCTGGTCCACGTGTCCTTGGGCCACACCCCAGAGTAGACTTGCTTGGTGTGGGTCACGAGCACCCTTGGTGCCATCCCATGTGGTGACATGGCCACCGGTGACCCCTGAGGACACTTTCTCCCATGTCCCACCAGCAGATAGACACTCTATTTCTTTCTAATTTTTACCAGTCTGATGGGTCTGAGACGATACTTCATTGTTACTTTAAGTACTAGAGGATTACTTGAGGATTCGAATATCTGTGTATCTATTTGGTGGCCATTTGGACATTCTTTTCTGTGAATTGTCTTTTCATATGTTTGTCCGCTTTTATTATGGATTGTTTGCCTTTGTCTTCATGGGCATTATTTTTTTTATTTATTTTTTTTTTGAGACAGAGTCTTACTCTGTTGCCCTGGCTAGAGTGAGTGCCGTGGCGTTAGCCTAGCTCACAGCAACCTCAAACTCCTGGGCTCAAGCATTCCTCCTGCCTCAGCCCCCCGA